TAACTCTTGAAGGTAAAATAAGAAAAACAATGTCATTTATGTATTAATTTTGTGAAATAACAAATATTAAAAAAGTTTATTTTTAATAAGAATGATATGTAAATAGAAACTTAGAAAACTATATTGTAATAATACTAGTATTAAATTCAATATTTCCAACGTGTAGGGGCTGGGTTAGGTGCTTTGTCTTGGGTGGGGCAGAAACAGCACCCAAAGGCACTTTTTAGTTTTGTTTTTGAAAAATAGTCATTATTTTCAACTTTTAAATTTGTAGATATTCTAAGTTTTATTTATAAATTTTAAAATGATTTGAAGTTTTTTTTTAAATTACAGAGCTCGTAAAGTAGAAGTTGTGACAAGTCTTGATTAATCTAAATTTACGTTTGAAGTTCACACTTTGAAAGATAACAGAACGTTTTCTTAAAAATAATTTCATCTGAAAGACTGAAACCATTAGTTAAAAATAAATAATTATTTATCACTTTACCACAAACGTTAACAAACACTTTGTACATTTATGATTGAATGCACACATTTGAACTTGAAGGTGAATTCAATTATTTCACAATGTGCATAAATGGACCTACAAATTAGGAAAAAAAGGTTTGTAGGACACACAATAATGTGAAAATGTCTCTAATAATAGTAGGGGCCTCTCTCAACAAAAAAAATAAAAATAAAAATAAGATTAAAATTAATAAAATAAACACCGTTTTTATAAAGAGAAAAATGTACAAAAATAAGGTGACAAAAGTCAAATTATTGAATATAAAATAATTCTACCTCTATAGGTTAAAAGCAAAGACAACATCATTGATATAGAGAGCCTCTCTTTTCTTCTTTTCTTGTCTCATGATGAAAAAAAAATGTTAGTACTTATTATATTTCAAAAATATTTTTTTTATAAAAAAAATAATCTATTTTCGATATTTATTTTGAAGTCGATTAATTTTATTTGTATCAGAAAGCCCACATTTGACTATGCGCTCTTTATAGAAAAAACTTTATATTTAAAATTGAATCTGAAATTCTGATAAATAATAGTATAAACATACTATTCATCTTCCTTTCTTTCTTTTTTTCTTCTTCTTTTATTATAAATATTTATATTTGAATTATTCTTGGTGTTAGGATCGAATCCGCACACACACTTAATGAATGAATAACACAAGAACTTTCAAGAGAGAGATAGGAGATCTAGAGAGAGAAAGAGAAAAATCAATATTTCGTGATAACACCCAGTGAGTAAATTTCCACGGCGATGGATATATATATTAGTAATAATTCAGACCATTTTACGTTACAGAGGTTGAACCGCGTGAACATTAATATATGATAGTACATCAAATATTAATCAGGCTCCACAACCTAACACTTGATGATTAAAATTAATAATACATGCACATAATAATATTTGTAGTCAACAAATCTATATATATATACACACATACATTTTGCAGAAAAAATGCAGGAATCATTGAATTAGTAGCACTTTTTCATTTGCATTGACAATGATGATATCTCTTTTATCATTATTAAATGACTTTAATCATTTATATCCCTTTTGTTACATATTCTTGAAATAGTCTCATAGGTATGGAGTCATTTTATATTACAAAGCATTTAATATGATAATAAGTAATTTTTTCGGTGTAAATTTAAATTTAATTGAATTGTGATACAAATGTCAAATAACAAGTGGAAAACAAACAAACTAAAAAATTTTGTGATTTATTAATTGATTAAATACAATATATCCTATATATTTTCCTTATATAAATTTAATATTATTCTTTTTCCTATTTACTTGTTTATTTTGACAAATCAAGAAAGGATAAATTTTTTTCCTATTATATCCTCATTTAAACTTCTTGAAAATTTCTAAGTTTTAATTCATCCCTTTTTAAAGTATATTTAATGAGGGTAAACTTGTAACTTCACTATGTTAATTATTGTTATCTTAATATGTGTGTCTTTTTTAAAGTGAACAACTAAATAGGGACAGAGAGAGTATATGATTTATAAAAAGTATAAATATATATAGTCAATAATAATGTGAGATTCGAACACCGAGTAAAAAAAAAACTAATCACTCACTTTTTGAACGCCGGAACTTTTGATTAATTAGCCCCTCATGTTGGGTTAAAGATTAGCATTAATTAGGCACACTAATAAGTTTATCCAATTTTACAAGTTTCCTAAGCTACATACATTATTATATTAGTGTATAGAATAATTTCTTATAATTAAGTTGATATAATTTAATAATATACTGATTAGAAGGTTATGAATTTGAATGGAACCCTAGAATTCAATGAATATGTCAATTATCTCCACATTTTATCATATAAATATATATAGTGGACGATAAAATTTAACAATATTTTATAATTAGATAAAGAGAAAATCGCGACATAAATAACATAAATATATCCCTTCTTTGTTGGATTGTCCAATTTTATGTAACTTTTTTCATGAGATAAACATCACATGATATGTTAGGTTATCTCAACGCTCCTAAAGTCCTAATCCATTTTATCCCCTCCAATCCACTTCTTGCTCTATCATTAGTATCTCTTTCATCATTAATTAAATATACTTAATCGAATATCACAAATATTAAAATCATAATTCAATGAGTAATTGTGAAATAAAAATGCCATTATCCCAATTAGTAAAGTTATTAGTTAAAACTTTTTAAACTTAACTATCAATGTGGGGGGTGGGCGTGGGGGTGGGGGGACAAGAAATTAACATTGATATGAAAACTCAATTTATTACCTAGATGCTACTACCAAAGACATGATTCCACTCTCATTTCTTCCCACTTATAGCATGTGTAGTAGTTATGGTGTAGAGTGGCTACTTTTGCTTCTCTTATAATTATATATTCTTAGTAATAATGATGGTGTTTGCGTTAATTTATACGTATTTTTATCGAAGCTTAGATAAATAGAAAGATGTTACGAAATGCATTATTTATCTTTCATTGGATTTGATTCCTAGCCTTCCTATTTTTCTATTATATTAATTGCTAGATCACATCCTTATAATATTGCAAAGAATACATGCATTAGAGACAGATAATTACTCCTATCGCTAAACAATAAAAATTTGTTAAAACTTTATTTAACTATAGATTAGTGATAGTACATTATCAAAAATTCATACTAGCCCTTCCTTTATAGTGCTAAGTGCTCTTTTACGAAAATTACTCAAAGATTCGTATCGTTAATTTTGATTTACACATTTATCTTATCACTAATCACAACTTATTCAGAATTGAAATATAATAATCGTAATTGTTATTCACTTTTATTATATTTTGCTTATTTCATTGACGATTAGATCAGATTAATCTTAAATGATCTCTTCCCTATTTTTCTTCTAAGAGTATTCCTAATACCAAACTTCCCCTCCACCCCTAGCCCCTACACAACAAAAAGACATAAATATTCAAAAAATTTACTCATAAAGCAAAATGGGATTTGACTATGGGATCAAATATTGATTGAGATTGAACTCTCTTTATTAGACACACATCATGACCCTTATATCATGCACTGTCTTACTATATTGCAAAAACTAGGGTCCCCACCCCCTAAAAAATAAAACAAAAAAGGTGAAGGGAGAAAAATAATCTAAACTTTTTTTCTCATATGTTTTATTTGGTTTTCTACTCTTTTCTTCAATCAATATTTTGTTTTTGTCAACTTTTGTCATTGTGATAGAATGACATAGTTGAAAATTTTCCCACTTTTTCTAAGTGCATTTAGAATTTGTAAGGTGTAGTTTTATTTCTTAATAAAGAGAATAATAAGTCAATACTAACAAAAATATTTAATATAGTGTCACAAGGTGGAGTCAGAAGAAGATAAAGTATATACATATTTATTCTTAATTTACGAAGATAGAGAGAGTTTTTGGTAAAAAATTGGCTCAAGTGAAACATATAAAAAGTATAAGAAAAAAATATTTCTAAATAAAGAGTAAACTTTAAAGCATAGTTTTACTTCTAAATAAAGAATAGATTTACTAGTAAAATGCTTCAATAAATGCACAAGGAAAAGGAAAAACAATTCTTAAAAAATACTCCCCCTGTTTAAAAAATGTGATACTTTTATCTTTTAAAGATTCAATTTATATAAATTTTGGTTAAATTTTAAATATATTTTTTTAATCATATTGATATGAGAGATCGAATTGCAACATATAGTATTTTTTATATAACTTTTGAATATTTAAATTTTTAATTTCGAAATATTGAGTTGACCATGTCGATTATATTAATTCTCGAGAAGCGAAAAGTATCATATAAATTAAAGAAAAAATTATTGAAATACACGTCTTATGTTTTCTTTATTTCCAATATCCTCTTCTATTTTTAAAATCTCTTATTTCTCTTCTAATGTATTTAATGTATTTAAGTTACATATTAATATATGCAAGCCAGTATTTATTGTATCCGAGCTACATATTATGTATTCGGTTTATTTTATAATGCATTCGAGCTAGTTTTTAATGTACATGACCTAATTTTTAATGTATCAAAGCTACATATTATGTATTTGATTTAGTTATATTGTATCCGAGATAATATTTAATGTATCTTGAAGGTATAAATTTTAAGGAATTATTATAATTTAGAAAAAATAAGAATAAAATATATTTATTCTTTACGGTATGAATTTTACGTAAATTAACAAAGAAAATAGTACATAAGTACGTGAAGAGCATACTTGAATTTTTGGGCTAAAGGCCCATTTAAGCACAATATAGATATGAGCCCAAATCAACAGTTTGGGCCAATACGTAATTGTCTGTCAGAAGGACTACAATCTTTAGGCCCATAAGAAATAAGATGTAAAACCATTTTTTAAGATTTTAAATCTTAAATTTTGAGATTGAGATGATCTGATAGCGTTATTAAAATACACGTCTTATGTTTATTTTATAACATATTTGAGTTATTTTTTAATGTATTCGAGCTACATATTATGTATCTGAGCTAGTTTTTAATGTATCTGAAAACATATTATGTATTCAGTTTGAGTTACTTTTTAATATAATTACAAGTTAAAGAGGAATAGATTGTAATTTCATATTATACAAAAGGTGCGCAAAACGTAAACTCATAGAAAAATAGTCACAACTTAATAGAACAAAAGATATCCTCCACCTTATCCCCATCTCCTCCTCCTTATTTACACAGAAGAAACGACAAAATAACATAATACAAATAATTTAAACTTTTAAATAAGATAATCATGATTCAAACGCTTAAAAAGTGTAGATACTGAAACATGATTAATGCTTTGACTTTTCAATAATTCTGGAAAAAAATGTGAGATGCAAATAAATAAATAAATATTATTTTGCTAGTCTTTTCATTTTTTCATCTGTACGTAACGTTGTACCACTACACTAAGCTCATCAAAACCCTTAAAATCATAAACATTATTGTCATTGCCACTGACATTCTTAACCTCGTCAATATTGTTGCTCGTAGCTTGAATAATATTGTCATTGTCATCGACATTTTTAACCTCATCAATATTATCGTTCGTAGCTTGAATAATATTATTTTTGGCACAGCCATTTTGTACATATTTTTGTACCACCACACCAAGCTCATCAAAACCCTTATAATGATATATATTATTATCAATATGATTACTTGATGATGAAATTAAATTTGGAGTATTAATTTTTTGAACAAATTGATGATCATTATAAAACTCCAAACAATCGTTGGTACCTATAAAATTTTGTCCATGCTCCAAATTTTCTTCATGAATCCTCATGTTGATATTTTCAGGAATCGGATCGTCATGATAAATTATATTTTCATAACCGTTGAAATACTTAACTTCGTCCATATTATAGCTCGTAGCTTGAATAACATTGTTATTGTAACTGACTTCATCAATATTGTAGCTCGGAGCTTGAATAATATTGTTAAAAATATCGTTATTGATATTTATAACCTCATTAATATTATCGCTCGTAGCTTGAATAATATCTTCATCGTTATTATTGGTCCTTTTGTTGATATAGATCTCGCACAAGACACTTTTGTCCAACTACACACATTTTAAATGGTTAAATGAAAAAAAAGAAGAAGAGGAAACTTACATAAATATAATATAATAAACAAATATTTACCATTTATAGCAATAATGTTATTTTTTCAATTGATCACTTTTAATTCATTTATAATACAAGTTTAATATATATTACAAATATTACAAAGAATAATTTATTATTCACATATAATACAAATTTTAATGATGAATAATACATTTAACACACATTTTAATACACTTATAATACAATGTGACAATTTTTTACCAAACAAACATGATATATTTCAAAAAATAATTATAATTCATATATATTGCATACATAATTCACTTTTAATACATATTACAAATTTAACATTGCAATAAATGGTAATAAACAAAAAAATATCACTAAAATCAATAATTGATTTTTAAAATATATTAATTTATGTAATTTTTCCAAAAAAAAAAGTAAATTAATTCTTCCATTAGAAAAAACATTGAGGAATGTTATATATAAAAAACAGTAAGAAGCTTCAATAATAACAACATAATCAGTGAATTTTAAAATTAAATTAAAATCAAAACATATAACAATATATTTGATCGGTGTAATTTCAAAACTAAATAAGAACATATATACTACTGTTGTAAAAACAATAACATATTCAATATAATTTCACTGTCAAACAAGAGCATATATACACCACAATAACAACATATTTGATCAGTATAATTTCAAAACTAAATAAGAACATATATACTTCTATTACTACTACGGTAACAACAACAACAACAATATATTTAATATAATTTCACAGTCAAATAAGAACATGCATACACTACAATATCATATCCAGCGATTTCAAAACTAAATAAGAACATATATATATATACTACTACTACTACAACAACAATATATTCAGTGTAATTTCAAATAAGAACATATATATACATACTACTATATTATAATGACGATGAAGACAACAACAACAATGTAATTTCAAAACTACATGAGAGCAAATATAAACTACTACTATATTATAACGATGATGATAATAACATATTTAGTGTAATTTTAAAACTAACCTCATGTGATAAACCTTTTTTATGAATACGAAATTCATGCATTTTCCACTTAGATCTAATTCCTTTTTCTTCTTGGTAATCAAGTGTCTTTCTGTACCCAATAATTTGACCATCTTTCATTATTTCTACATCATTACCAGTAGCTTTCCAAAAGCCTTTTTTGCCTCCTACTTGTCTATTTGGTCTACCTCCTTTTTTGTACTTTTTTTCCCTTCTTGTGAAGAAGTACCAATTCTCCCCTCTTTTGTGTTTATTTTCGGTCGCTGATCACATAATTAAGTAAATAAAAATATCAGATGTCATATAACAAATTTTATACGAGATATTATATATTACACATATAGTTTAACAAGGTATCAGATTAGTCTAGACACAAATTGCATATACATGAACCTCATAAGAAAAGAATACGAAAAAAACAATTTACGTGATTGTAAATACTTATTTATAAAAAGGAAAATAAATATATATAATTTATTAATTCAGTGTCTTAATTAGCTTTTAGACGAGATACTATTTACAAATAATGACAATAATATATTCAATATAATTTCGCAAGTGGGATATCGAGAGTAGTGTGATGTGTATATGCAGATCTTTTCCTACCTTGTGAAGGCTGAGATCATACTATTTACATAAATTCTCAACCACAAGTAAAAGACCAGATAATATCGATATCATAATATAATTAACTATATGTACAACTCCAATAATTCCTCCAAATAATAGATTTAGGGTTTCGACGCAATGATTTTCTTCTACGTAAAAATACATTTAACTTGTATGTGTAATCATAGTAATATTTTTTCAGATAAAAATTAATTGCTCACATAATATGCTTATATCAAATCATATTGACTTATCATATATAATTAAATATTAGTTTTTTTTCCCTAAAAATTATTCGTGAGCTTCTGATCACCTTTGTATGCATGATACCTTTCTTTGTAATAACCAAAATAAATAAAATAGATAAAATAAAAGAGAAAAAATCTACTTACTTAATGTTAATATAGATATAGTTATAACAAAAAATAAAAAGAGAAAAAAAATCTTCTAATTAAATACATATAATTAAACAAAAGAAAATAGAGAAAAGTTCTTCTACTTAACGACAATATACCTAAAATTAAACAAAAAAATAAAATCGAACTAGATCAGAGATTATGATGGAATGAATAGGATCCTCCAGCACACAAATTGATCATCAGATGATAAATTATTTTTTTTATAAAAAAATCGAACGTAAAAAGAGAGATATAAGACAATTAAAGGACTTACTACCAAAGGTTATATATGTTACGACAAGACAAGATAAAGTCTCTTTGATCTTAATAAAACTTCTGAATTCAAGTTTTGAATATAAAAAAATCTTTTCTAATAAAGAATTATATATACGAATTAATAAAAAGTAAAAAAAAAAAACTTAACTGCAATATTCTTGTGGATGAGAACTATTGATACATATTTCTTGAAAATCATTAATTTTTGGTAATTTTTCACCATTGATTTTCTTCATCAAATAATGCTCAATAAGCTCATCATCTGTTGGTAAAAATCTATAACCTAATGGAATTGAATATAACTCCTCCATATATCTGCAAAAAAAATAAAATTAAATTCCTTATAATGATCTTAATACACGTACTACTAATACTAATTCTAGAATTATAATAAGGAAGAAGGATAAAGAACGTATTAATTAATGTATAATATTTATATGTATTTTTCTTGTGTGATCTATGTGTTACACGTTTGATATGATCTATGAAAATAATCTCTAATACTCGTATTAAGGTAAACAATTGTGTATATAATTACGTACCTTGAAGTGTGACGATTTATTCAGATTATGGTAACGTAGAATGCTTTATGCAAGAGCTTAACCTCAGATTTCGAATTTTTAGTATAATTTCTAATTTATGATTATTATTTTTTACGTGTGTTGTCATGTATATAACAAATAATAAAGATATACCTTTTATTTATCCAAATAGGATTAGGCTATTAATTTGTACAACGGCAAAACTAGCTAGTTGATTAAAAATAGGATTATCCAGCTGGATTTTACTAATATTGTGAAGAGGTTGATATTTATTTAGTTTGGTTTTATACATTATATTAAAAATTATTTTATATTATTCATTTTGAGATAATTTATAAATATTTCTTATTTTTTCTTTTTATAATTTTTATTTTTAACATGTTATTTCAAGTTTGACTTAAATTCTGAATAGTTCAATAAATATTATATTTTATAAATATTATTAACTCTAATAAAATTCAAATCAAAATCAAAATCAAAATTAAATCAATATTATAGCTAACAAAAAAAAATGAATACTAAGAATGACAATTATGTTGAATATTTATACTTTAGTTATGTATTTATTTAGATAATTTAAATACATAATCTAATTTTAAGTTTTCTTTAATTTTTAGTCAGATTATTAGTACTCATTAGACTTATTTTGACATGATTACGCTAGTGTTCGACTCCAAGTTCTCAAATATTTGGGTCAAGTTTTTGATGAAATTATACCATATGTTTGGCCCAAAGTTTTCTCAAAAATATTGGACTATTTCAAAAAATATAATATATATCCATAAGTTCTAAAAACTATTAAAATACACATAAATTTGTATTATTATTTTATAATTAATATCTTTCATAAAGAAATAACTCTATAGTATACATTGATAACAATCAACAATGACAAAATAACACCATACGCAAGACAATACATTAATATCATACACAACAAAATAACACCATACGCAAGACAATACATTAATATCATACACAAACAGTCAAATCTGTCATTGATTCAATTATAACGACAACTTTTGTTTGGTAACAACCATAAAAAAATTACCATAATCATCAACACCAATACACATAAAAAGCACCTATAATGTCATACTCAAACAGTCAAACTTAGGGCCCGTTTGGCCATAAATTTTTCAAATAATATTTGGGAAAAATTTGGCAAATAATGTTTGTCCATATAATTTGTCATTATTTGGCAAATATTTTTGGCAAATACCCCAAATTTTCAAATATTAGTTTTTTCTAGTATTTGGGCCAAATATCATTATTTGGGATATTTTAAAAATTAAAATTTTACCCCAATCTTTTATCTTTTATAAAAACACCCTCTCTAGTATTTGCTTGCGTTGTATTACATCATTTTTTACGTGAACACCAAAATAGATGAAATATTTAGTGAATATTAAATAATGATATGATTGTTGATGAAAATTATTAAAAATTGGCTTTAGGTAACAAAGTCATGTACTTTATCTACTTCACGATGTATGGAATAATTCTTGTTGCACTCACTCCAAATTACCACATTGCTTCAGTGTCATGGACACTATTTGTTATTGTTGTAACTAACATTCAATTGACCTGTAATACAAACTTTTAGTTAGTTTTGATAGTTTTTAAAACTTGTGTGTATAAATCATATTTTTCTAAAAAGGTGAAATATATTTCCCAAATTTTATGGCCAAACACATGGTGAAATTTCACCCAAATTTTCACTCAAATAATATTTGCCAAGAATATTTGAAAATCTATGGCCAAACGCTAGCTTAGTAAACACAAATTGTTCTTTTTTCGAAACATTGTCACTCAAATTAGAACTCAATTTTTTCAAAGGAGGTAATAACAAAAATTGAAATTAATAATTGATGAGTATTTTTTTTAATAAAATATAAAATTAGGGGTAATTTGAATTTTTTAAAAAAATCTCAAATATTAGAACTTGCTTAAATACTATATTTTTTCTAATACTTGAGATACTTGATAAATATATTTGTCAAGTTATATGACCAAACACCACTTTTCAAGTTTTTCCAAAATATTCTTGGGGCCAAACGGGTCCTAAGTATTTTAAAATTATGAATCATTTTCATTTTGACTTAGTTGTTTGTAATATTTGTTTATTGTGAATTCCATTATTATTTTTGTTGAATAGAATTAGTATACCACCCACATCATGTTTCGTGTTATTTTCTTAAGAAACACCTTAGATAATTAAATTTTGATAAAACTAAATAAATATCTGAAATAGAAATTAATTATATATTTGTATGAATATTATACGAAAAAACTAAAAAAAAACTAGAGAATTCGAAAAATCTGAAAAAATACGAGATTCAAGAACCCAAATTTTATTAATTTGTTTTAGTTTATAGAATTAGAAATCCGACATATGATTTAGTTTGGTATGTAAAAAAAACTCGAACCAATTTGATCCACGTACGCTTTTATCTAATTAATATCAAATCGTATAAATTTATTATAGTTAAGTAAAGGATACATAGTTATTAAGCGCATAGGTAATTAAGTGCTAATTGTTAAAAAAATATACATAAAGCGTAAACATATATAATTATTTAATGTAACTTCGAGTTTGAATAATTTTATATAATATATTTTTATTTGATATCTAATATTTACTAACCTAATTTGGACGCAAAGCCATATAAAAAATGTAGAAAAAAAATAAAAAGGTATTCAATTCAAAGAACAAATAGGAACTACGAGATAATATTGAATTTGAGGATAATTATTGTTTTCACTTATTTTTTTTTCTTTGTTTGTTTTTGCGTAATTTTTTTTAATTATCATATATAACAATTCAGAATTTGATAAAGTAAATTGTGTTTAGCTAATTTTTTTTAAAAAAAATATTTTTGAGGGTTAAATTACGAAAAAAGGTTAGTATCAATGTACCTTTAGTATTAAGATTATTTTATAAAAATAAACTATTTTAAATATCCGTTAACATTTTCTTAATTAATTTAAAGTTTACATATTCAAATTCAACTAATATTATTAAGTATTAATATATTATTAATATATGACTTAAATATAAATTAAAAATATCAGGCAAAATAAATTAATCATTCCACAATTAAATATACAAAGAATTCACGATAAAAATAAATAAAATCTTCGTATTTTTAGTCCTACAAAATATTTTATCTTTATTTCTAATTTTGTAAATAAAACATAAGATAATATAAAAATCTAAAATATAAATAATATATAAACATAAAAAAAATCATATAAAAATTAAAAAATAAAAAATTATTTCTT